GCAGAACGGAGTGTGCCCTGTGAACTGGAGCGGTGATTGACAAAACCTGACAAACTTTTCTCAAAGGAACTGGAGTCATTAGGCGTGGGACCTCTGTGCGCATAAACCGCACGACAGCATTGGAATGGTACGGCATTCGACGGAGTGTGTGCTCGAAAGGACTCCTGAGCGAGGTGAAGCAAATTGTGGTAGACTTTACTAAGTCACGTAGCAAAATCGTATCCAGTCTAAAAACAGTGCCGCCCACGTCTCACCAAACGAACCAGTAAGTTGATCTATAACGCTGATAATAAAACGTACGTGCATATACAGCGGAAAAGCAGCACATGGAAACGGATATTCTACGCCTTTCGAAAGCACAGCCCATGTACATAACCAAACAGTTGCCCCCCCGAAAGGTAGTCCGGTATATGTAATTCATTAGTAAAATTTTGTTGAATACGTCATCGGAATTCTTCCTAGAGTTAACGGGCACGGATCGCCCCGTTGGAGCACCTCCGGCGACGTAACTTGGCCGTACGCACTCACTGGAGTGGGATCGGAAATGAGCAGAGCTAATGATACACGTAGACAAGCCACTCGCTGGATTAGGGAGGAAAGAGAAGGTAGGCAGAGATAAAGGCAAGCACACTCATTAGGTAGCCCCAGAAGTGCGTTTTAAAACTCTCCCCTAACTTGGGCCCTGCCTTCAAATATGTGATTTTGAGGCAATCTCGCCCACTCAAAAATAATTCAGTAGGTTGACCGTATGACATTCGCAAAGTGCGGCTGCAAGACCAAATCGTACCAAAGTCAGAATTTGAAAATCCATTTTATGGGAAAATGGGCTAGAGTTGCAAAGTTGGCCGTTCCGTTCTCCTTGATTTTTTATCTGTTGTCTCCACCTCGCCTGCAGTCCTGAACCTGTTACGGTCAAGTTGTGAAGGCGTATAAAACCTGATTAATTTTTTGTGGAGTGAAATTTTTAAATGTGTCTACCTGTCGAATAATATGGCCCGATTATGGCATTTTTTAAGAATGTCATTTTTGTAGCTTTTAATTTCCTTAGAAATTAACTGCGAACTTGGAGTAGATCAGTATATTCATGGTCTGTAGGCTCAGACCTAAGATTTTGTGTATGAATATTTGGGCCGAAGTCCATCATCCACAGCGGATAACCCCGTAATATCCATTAACTGCCGACAGGCAGCCAGTAGTATACTTTAGGGTAAGGTGATTCCATACAAATAGCACAGGCACTAGCCAAAAGCCCATACGCGCGTGATTCGCCGATGTTCTGCCGCTGTATAAGAACTGCGAGGGAATGCTGGGGGACCCACTGAATAGCCGAACCCCTAGCAGCTGAGTCATGCAACGGCAGAATATCGGCGAAACACGCGTGTGTGGGTTTGTAACTAGTATCTGTGCTGTTAGTATGGAATCACCTTAAGCTAACATTTCATTTCCCTTCGCAGATTAGGTCCTGCGTTCTTTTAAAGTGGGAAGCTTCCTGATGGAGGGCGAGTATAAATCCACATTCATGTCGGACCAACTCCACACTGTTGTATGAAGCGAAACATAGAAGAGGCGACGGCTGTTATCAATGGTAGGTTAAGTGGCGTATACTGTGAAACTCCAGCTGAAATTCTACAATCTGTTTTTCGATCGTTTTTATTAAAAAACGTGCATTTGGTTTTTTTAGAAGACGATTTTACGATTTCCGAACAAGGTAGGGTCCGACCACTCGCCATACTTGGTTTAGGGTTTTAAAACTCTGAACCTTATACATAGGTATTTTCTATGTAGGGAAAATTATATATTCCCTAAGACGACGCCATTTAAGGCACATACGATTTCGAGATAGACACCTACTTCAAAAGAGGCATGACTTAAATATTTTTTGATTAAGTTGAGCGCGGAACATAGACCTACTCTGTATTAAGGGTCTTTGTTGAAGTTAAGAGGATTGGGCTCGGAGTTGGGGAGGGGGCTGGGACTGACGTTTGGGTTAAAGTTAGGTCACCTGTAGCGTGGGGGGAGTTCTATATTCCCGTGTCTGAGTTTGTATTACGCCGCACGATAAGCACTAGTACAGTCCCCTGTAAGCTAACCTTTCTAATAAAAAAAACCTATTCCAGAATTTAGGTTATCGGTTTGCGTGATATGCTACCTCCTCTATATCGTCTGCCTGCCAACCGCTTAGTCACTGCCAGGGGCGCTGTTTGAATCACTCACACAAAAAACATAATCATGACAAAATATCATGTTATGGTCCCTAAATTCAAGCTGTCCATTACAGCATAAAATGTTGCCAAAAATTACCGTTAGGAGTCCTCGCACATCGTTGATGTCACCCATCGACCTCAAAAAATCCCTCTATCAAAAAGTGGCTTAGTTTGCACATGCACATTTTCTCCAGTACAAACAATCGAATTTAAATTCGCTTTTTTATGCTCCATGAATATGCACCATCGGTCTGCCGCTGGGCAGGTCAGAGCATTGCGTAATTGGGCGTGCAGGCGTGTCAGATTGCTTGCTATTAGCCAAGACGCCTCTTGTAAAAAAGTTGTTATAAATTAATTCAGTTTGTCTTGACACGTCTGTGTAGATCTTCTGATGTGAAACCGACATTTCTACAGTAGTTTGTAGCACCAGTTACTTCGACAGGCACGCTGTTGAAGCTTGTCATCACATTTCAGCATAGTCTGAATACACCTCTGGGCTAGATTGCAGTTGGTAGCCAGGACTCCTATTACAGGTGACGGGGGGGGGTTGTTTACTGGGGCTATTTTGTGAGGCTCCATCATCACATCTGACCATTCGGCTTCCGTTTTACGTTCGAGGTTAGGATTAGGGTACTGGTTAATGGTTTCCGATTTTCGGGTTAGGGTTATTCCTTTAGGCCTAGGTTTTCGGGTTACGGTTAAGGTTTGAGTGTACGATCAGGTTTCAGTATTAGGGTTAGGTTTTCCAGTTACGGCTATGTCTAAGGGTCACGGTTACATTTACGATTTCGGTTAGGGTTGCTGTTAAGGTTAAGGGTTAACGTTTAAGGTTGAGGTTAGGGTTTGGGTTAGGGTTAATGTTAGAATTAGGGTTAGGGTCGCCGTCCGCTTCCCCATTACTGGCTACCAACTACGATCTAGCCCACCTCTGTCGATCGATTGGCAATATCAGCCAGAGTTTTGTGCGAAAAACCAAGTCCATTGTCTCATTGTATTGCTATTCTTGGGCCAAACATGGCAGAATTAATCCTCTGCGAAAGACAAGTCGATACTGATAAAACGTTTATCGACGCTCTGCAACGTATCTTGTAGATACCCCTTACCTCGAAAACTGTAGGTTATGCGTTTCCGGGGGAACGAAGTCGAAATACCCTGTCATGAACAACAGACACAAGTAGTGAGACGTGATAAATCAGCTTCAGTAATTTGATGCATCAAGAGACAGTCGAATTCCCCTGGGCATGTTCGCTTCCTATAAGCACTCTTTATTACGTTCTGACAGGGCCAGAGAGGGAATAACCCGGTAATTTGAACAATTCAACCAAAATGCAATCTTTGACGAGAGCTGTGGTCTGTGAGGCACGGACGGCTGTGACTTTCCGGACATGCGTGCGCCTGGGTTGGGGTTAGACGAAACAGTCGGTCAGACTATCCGGTCTGCAATTTTGTAACGTAGGTGAGCGACATGAACGATGCTGGCGCTTGAAAAAACGCATTGGAACCCCTCTTTGCTACCACCTATAGGTTCCCTAGGTTAGCGAACGATGGATGCTTGCTGCTTGGGGGCTTATAGTATTTCGTCATATCTCTGAAATAAGCCCATTACGATTTTTCGTAGATGCCTTGTAAGTCGTTACATCAACGCATATTTTGGCATGCTACTTTTAGTCGTGGATGCACCACGTGACGTTCGACACCCAGCCCCCCGGCAGAGTCGTGCTTCACATGCGCACGGACACGCGGCCTGTCCGTCTATCGCTCTAACGCCACACTTTGCTTGCACGGTTTGTCCACCTTCGTGAGTCGTAGCCTAATCGACGCACAGTTGCGTGCGCCCCAGTGGCGACTACCATGTAACCACTGAACATCATCGTCTCCCAAGCGTCTTCACGCACATTCAAGGTGTTCGCACAGTCTACTAAACCATTAAGGGAGTTTATTGGAGTACAAGCAGAGCATACGCCAGCGGGTAAGTTAAAAATTGTTATTGCCTACCAAACTGATCGCAAGCGCTATTAACGCGAGGCACCGCTTATTAAAAAAAGCTTTCTTAAGCTCAACCAAAGTAGGACAAAATGGATAAAACTTGTACTTTAAACATGAAAACGTAGACCGAACTGTTACTAAACACCCCTGTGTTTGTGTATGTAACTCTTCCTCTGAATTAATCATGAATTAACGTCCAATAATAACCGTTAATTTGCATCACCACGAAGGCGTAGGTGAATCACTTGGAAGTTCATGTGTCTTTGTCAGCCGATGGTTACTCTTTCACAAATTAGGCGTTTGCACTGCTTGTACTTTTACGCATTGATTGCGTGGGCCGCAGAATATGACACTAACAGGTTGGAAATGCAGCGCTTTTGCAATTGAACTACTTTTTCGCATGCCGGCTTCTGCAGGTTTCATATTTAAATAAAGGATGAACTAGAATGCCAAATTTTATATTGCATTGATTATTCTCATTTAAACTTCGTCCAGATGGGTTGGTTGTCTTGAAGTGCCCGCTTATTTGGCGAATACTTTCCAGCCGCTTTAGTGTACAACAAATAAAGGGTGAGCCAACTTCCGATAACTGCTTCAGTCGATTGTTTTATGACCCCATTGAAGGTGGCAGTTCAAACTTTACTTCCGAAGACGCACACCTTGTGTCCTATTACAGGGTGGACGCAGGGACGATGACTTGTGCATGAATTAGTCAGTAGTAGATTTTCGCTGCATTTATCGTACTGTCTCCTCCCCCACGGTCCACTTGGGCCCGGTGTCAAGATAGAGTCAAGAAGACTGGAGACGTGATCAGACGCAATGACCGATAAAATTAAATGACCCATGAACGAGTGCCACACTCACGTCAGTTCGACCGTAGTTGCTGACGATCTCCACCATGTGCTCCACAGCAAGATGGAGCAGGTACGGTGACTTGCGCGTGAATGAGTTTGTAGTGATAGAAGACTTGCACAGCATCCACCGCACTCCCTCCTCCTCCTGCTCCTCCTCCTCCCCCTCCTCCCCCTCCTCCTCCTCCTCCTCCTCCTCCTTCTTCTCCTCCCCCACCTGGACCCGGTGTCAAAACAGAGTCAAGAATACCGGAGGCGGGAGAGGACGCAGGCTGATGACACGATCGATCCCGCACCATGGCGCTCCACTCTACATCCTCTGGTTCACACAGCCAGCAAATGACCAGGCTTTTTGACCAACAATAACAATTTTGGGGGGGGGGTGCAGATGGTGTCCCAGTGTGCACGACATTTGCCGACAACCGGGTCTGCCAACGCACTTATGAAATGTTGACATTTGTTATGGTGTGCAATCTGATAAGGCCTGGTCCTCGCACAATGAACTAGGTTTTCACGCAAACAAAAGAAATGGACGACTCATATCCCAGCAAAATGATAGTACCGTAGGGGGGCGCAGAAAGTGGGAGCCATTGAAGCTTGACTCTCCGTCTTGAACGGGAGGGGGGGGGACGAGGTATCTCATTAGCTGGCAGTCTTCCAAACCACTGATCTTACAGTCCCGTGATAGATTTAAGCCTATCAGATTGTTTATAGCAACGAATATGCGCTGAGAGTCGACATAATTATATTTCCCTCCCCTCGCGCACCAGGAGGTTGTCTGAGTCGTTCAACCAGCTAATGTTAAGGTTGGACGCAACGGCTGACAGAGCTAAAAGCAGTCCCTCACACAAGGAGGTGGATTGCTTGGATCTCCGATGTGCTAGAGTATCTGAGGGGCCACATCGAGCAAGGGCCAAAGAGCACGATTTCCACCTACGTGATAGATGCTGGTTCCATGCTTGTGGTGTCTGACGAGGAATGATTTCGTCTTGGTGTTTGGGCTGGCTGAGGAGATATGAGGTGACGGGGTCTGACTGGCGGTGTTTTACTGCAGGTCTTTATGGGTGCGCATGCGGCCGAGTAGACCTGTATCACCAGCAGTTGGGACAGCGGAGGCCCGTTTGACCGGTGTGTGTGTGTGCCCTCTAAACGGGCCACGTATTAGATGCGCTGGACCAACACGGGGGCCACATCGGACTCTGGCAGGCGTTATCTGTGCGCAATAACAAATGCCAACATTTGCGGGGTGCGCTGGCGGACCCTGTTGTCGGCATTCGTCGTTCAACTGGACCACTGCCGCCACCCCATTGTTTTGTGGTCAGCTCCTGGTCATTTGTGTGTGGACCAGGGGGTGCGGAGTGGATCGCCAAGGTGAGGATCCGTCCGAGCCATCCACCTGCGGCCTCCCCCGTCTCCGGTCTTCTTGACTCTGTCTTGACACCGGGCTCAGGCGGGGGAGGAGGAGAGAGTGTAGGTAGATGCTAAGCAAGTCTACTGGCACTATAAACCCCTGCGTAAGTCACCGTCCCTGCTCCCACAATGCAGTCTGTGGGGCACACGGTGGACATCGTCGACACGGTCGAACTGTCGTGTGGTGATCCAGGCACTAATTCGCCAGACTCAGTGCAATGGATTCTCAAGTGACCGACCACGCCGATGTGGGATGCGAATGTGAGATCGCAATGGGCACAGGTTAGAGTCTAGCTCCCATTGCTGTTGGCATGGACGGTGGGGGATGAGGGCAGTGGTTGAGGAGATGTCGGGAGTGTCCTCACCGGTAGTGAGCGGGGTGGTAGTCATCTCAGCCATCGTCACGGGAGTTGTGGCAGGAATGGTGGTGGTTGTGGCGGCGGTTAACCAGTGCGTTAGAGCAATATTAATGAGGATGCTGGGAAAGGTGTAAGCTCAGTTAATTTATAGATTTTCATCCTAAATTCTAATCTTGTTGTTTGCAATTATTGGCGGGTGTCTAAGCTAACGGGCGAATCAAATATGGTGAATACAATTGGGAGTGGGGCATATTATTTCGCGCGACCTACAAGTAACCTCATCAGTGGTCAAACTTAAAGTTACAAAGGCCCAAATAGGTGGAAAAAAACGCATTGCAGTAAATATTGGTCAGGCGACTGTTGTCCTAATTAAGCAGACGTGCTTTACAAGCCTCTGGATGTACTAGTTGATAATAAGCCCTAGGACCGCTTCCAAGCCAGCTTCCGTGAAGGTTGCACTTAGATAACCGGCGAAGACTTCGAATTCGCGGCAGGTCAGGGCAAGAAAATCAAGGAGAGTTGAAGGCATATGAGGCTGTTGTGCGTTTCTACACTAAGTCATAAATTTAAAAAGCAAAAGTCCCACTTAAAGACTCATTGATACGAAATAAGCCCTAACGTTTGCATGCTGTTTGCGAGTTTACACAAGGGCTACTACCGAGGCGACTATTATAGGTCATGATCCCGCAAGATTCGAGTTTAAATGCCCTAAATCAAGACGAAAAGTCTGTTCAGCTTGCAGGCGTATTTTGGCGGCATTTTTAAGACGTAGTGGTGCTGTTTTAGCAAATGAATAACTGGAGCAGTGATCGGATAATTGAGGAACTGCATGTATATATTTCCTGGAGTGGGCTCTAAGTTGTTGAAGTGTGGTTGAAGTTGCAGTGGACGCTGCGCAAGTCTACTATTCATGCACAAGTCACGGCACCTGCTCTCACCTTGCAGTGGAGCACACGGTGGACATCGTCGAACACGACGTTTGAACTATCGCCGCTGCCTGACGCAGCTGCGAGGGGTTCGGCTCAGCAGTGGGTCCCCCAGCTTTCCCCGGGTGTTTTATGGTACATGAACTCCAGTAAAGCTGGGGGACCCACTGATGAGCCGAACCTCCTCGCAGTTGCGTCCGACAGTGGAACAAGATCGGCGAAACACGTGTGTCTGGACCTTTAGCTAATGCCTGTGTTGTAAGTACTTTAAATAATTACAGAGTTCTATACTAATGACTGCCTCTTAACGGTTTGTAAATAGTACGCGGTTACCCCGCAGTAGCTGATGAATTTCAGCTCAATTATTCATATCAAATTTAGAACCGTGCCTAAAAAGATTTGTTCCGAAAGACTTACTTCAAGTTCGCTCATTAATTTCCTCGGAAATTAAACAAGACAATAACTCATTTATCCGTGCACAATTGGCATGCATGACTTCGTTTCCTAAGTAACTGCTAAAGAGTTTTAGAACTGATGCGCAACGTGTCTGGCGAGTAGGCTTTGATTTCATAACCCTCTCTACCTGGTCGTAGCCGGCTGGTGGTGCAATAGTGCATAACAGGGCAGTTCAAGCTAAAAAAAATACGTCGGGCAGCTCCGATCATCACACTCATAAAAACTCTTTCACCGTGGACCTACCTATCGTAAGCCAAAACCAGAGCTGAGTAAAGCACGTGTGGACCGCCAACCTTTGCGGTGGGGTGTTGGTATAAAAGCAGTCGACAGTTAGAGGACACTGAGCAAGTTAAAGGAATCTGTAAGTGCCCTGTTACTTCTGTGTTATTGATGTGCAGTTAGCAACATCCGAAGAGGTTTGAAAGGAAATAAATTCTCTTTAAGCACACGATTAGGACATTGCTCAATTCTGAGAATTCGTTTGCCTGCCTAAATCAACGGGAAATGATGAGATTCCTGTTCGTAAAAATTAACCGCGACTACACTTGTGTAATTTTCTACCTTACTAACGGCACAGGTTCTAGCTTAAAGGCCCAAACGCGGGTGTTTGGCTGATCTTGTGCCTCAAGCTGACGTATCTGTGACAGTTTCGACTCATCAATGGGTCTCTCAGCCTTCCCGTGTATTTTCTGGTATATGAACTTCAGTTTCACATTATATTGTTTAATTTCCTGAGGGATTCATTAGTGCATTTATCGTCGCGGACTGAAGACTTTAGGTGAGCAAAGACACTAATGATTACACCAAAATAGGCGTTAAATAGGGCATACTTCGCCTCATTAAATTTTCGAGGAAATTAATTCACCAACTTGGCGTAAATTCCCTGGAACAGACCTTATCAGGCATGGCCGGAAGGTTGATACGAATATTTGAAATGAAATCTATCAGCTGCTGCGGAATAACTGCGTAATGGTAGGGGGCGCTCAGCGATCATTCTTGCGGAACTCAGTCGTTCCGTTGTGCCTTACGGGCTCTCTCTCGAGCCCAACCAGCAACCGCACAGTGGCGCACGATATAGGCAGTATGTTATTGCCGACAAAGACGAGGGAAAAACATAAGTGCGTAATGCTCCTAAACCTCCAAAGGCGGCCAGTAGTATAAAAGTTCGCAATTATTTAGCATGCTGATATTAGATATATCAACTGAAAGCCCAGACACGCGCGTTTCGACGAACTGGGCCGCTGCCTGACGAAACTCCGAGGGGTTCTGCTCTATGGAAAATTCGTGGTGTGTTGTATAGTGTTGGCGTATAGCGAATCCGTTGTGGCGGATACGCATATAATAGTTTTATAGGCAGTGCCTCTATCATTGATTGCTAGTCTTCCTACCGCCGCCTGTATGGGCTGTGAATCGCCAATCCCATGGAGAAGACGGGAACGCTCGCTTCAATTCTGCATGAAACTTGAAACTAACCGCAAATTCTCCAGTATAGCTGACAACGTTTGGCAATAATTTTGAAGATAGGGTGTTGATAGGGGCTTGACTGGGTTAGCTTCACATCCTGGACCCGAACCGTGGGGCGGTGGTTTTATTGACTGCTGACAGAAAAGAAACCAAAATGGTCTTTTCGGTGTCCGCGTATAATTCTCGCGTTCTCTCGTGCAAATATGACATGTCTGTATTTTCCATAGTGATGGACTTTGACTCGGCTAGCACAGAGCGACATCGAATTCCACAGTCATGTTTTATTTCCACGTTATCCAGTTTAAAGCAAATTTTCCGAAGGAAGGCATTATAAATATATTCAATTTTTCTTTAGAAAACAAATTTAACCGGACAAAGTTCACGATGAAGTCCCTTGTGCTTATTCTGCTCTTTCTGGGTAAGTTTGATTCCGCAGTTTCTAACTCCTTCGGAGGTAAATATCTTCACACTTGTTATAATTTCTGTAATGCCAGTTAAATAAGGACATCTTCTCCCAACATTCTCAGATTATATACGACTAAAAATGGCTTAACCTTGCCAATATATAACTGTTTTTGGTCCTTGAAATATCCTACGGTTCTATGTTATAGATATGCATGTCGTAAGCACATATTAGGGATCGAGACCCATAAACTATTGGCCAGAATACATAGATAGGCTTTCAACTGAAATTAATCTATCCTGCGGGCTTGTAGAACTGATTAGCGCAAAAAATAACCGCCTACCAAACAGTACACAGTATAAGAATGGTTTTAACTTCCCTATTTTCCCAGTCTTTCGAGTCAGTTATACTGGCGTTACATCATCCCTTATGTCATTTACCTTGGTTTTGAACTTTCGCGCAGGTCCAATAAATTTTTATTAACACGATTCACAAACGCTCATACATTATATTTGTCGTTGTCGGTAAAATGGTCTTCTTGAGGGTGCAGCAATCAAGTAGAAACTTTATTTTTTTTGCAAAACGTCGGCAATTTGGGACTGAAAAATTTCTAGCTGAAACAGATATATCTTATTACTGACAGTTCGGAGATATCGGTTGACTTCCCTTGCCAAAATTTAGTGCGTAAAATCGAACGGGAAGTATAAAAACGCACTGAACCAGCTAGCTTCTGCCTGATATAGTTCCTTTTTATCTCTCCTTCTTTCCCGACCTTTTGTCTGCTGTTTGGCATCATCACACCACCGTTGACTAGTTTAGCCTTTGAATGATCTGTGGAGTCTCCTGTAGTACTAGGACAATCCTGTTCTTGTTTAGACAGGGAGGACAATTATGTGAGTGAGGAGGGTCTGTATGCCCGTTGCTGAAATGGACATATGAAGACCACGTTGTGAGGTGTTCTGTCATCTTATTGTCTCGACCAAGAATGGTCGATTCTTAAACGTTAAGCAGGCGACCTATTACTCCGGTATACGGCACAATCTGCGAGTTAGAGTTTAGCCTCTAGACTGTCAGTTTCGACTGAGACAATCTTCTTAGACTAATTGGAGTTCAGTCACTGCAGATAACTGTCAAAGTTTCCTCAAGTGGCAGCCTTCCCCTGAATTTCATCCCACGACCGTGTGACACAGAGGTCCCACCTATTCCGCTGGGTTGTAGTGACTAATTGAATACCTTCGAGAGTACTTTGGTGTAGTGAGTAGTCGGCGCCACCTGAGGTTACTGCTCCTTTCGGCCGTCATCTATTTTTTCGGTGCGAACTCTGTTCTATGCAGTTGCCTAGACATTTGTAAAAACTGAACGTGTTAGGGAGGTACAGTTGATCGCCTGTTTTTGGGGTGGTTTGTTTCACACGTTTCAGTTGATGCAGTGAACGCGTTGAAGATGCAAAATTGAGTACATATCTCGAAATTTTACACCCACGCAATACATATATTGCAGTAAGCCGTTCTTGCATTTCCAATAATTGAAAACTCCGAACTCTTGACTTTGCTGACCGAATTCCTCAATCCTTGGAAATTTGCAGATCCAAACAAAATTGTTCTTGTGATCTACGATTATCCCCTTTAGTGCTATTGTTCAGGATTTTAAAAAATCGTCCCGTGTTTCTTGCTATGCACGGTAAACGTCTGCAAATCTTTCGTTACGGCTTTCTATGACAAACGAATTTTCTTCAAAGAGAAAAAACGTCATGCGATTTTGAAAGTTAAGTAATAAATACGAACACATGTTCCGTTCTAAAATATTCAGGTGTGGTTGCAAGCTTGAAGATTGAAATATTCGCCGTCCCCCTTTCCCCATAACTGTAGAATGCGCAAGCTCTTGTAAACATGAAGAGAATGAGGTTTTCAAGCGTAGATTTTAAATTTACAATCGTAATAGGCATATTTTCAAAATAATTTGAAAATATGTGCATTGATTAAGCAACAGTCGCTGCGAGAGACAAATTTGAGCAGCTTTCGGGAAAATCTGTTCATTTGAAAATGATCTGGAGGTGAGAACCTTGCTACTTGACTATGTAAGTTCCGTTGAAAGTGTCCTTAAACACTGCGATTCACACATCTTGTACATGTTTGCATACCGTCCTTCCCTGCAAAAATGATATATACAGGTAATGAAACCTTATTAATTGGGACTCGTTTGTTCATCCTAAATAATTTGCGCAATTTAGGCTTGATAATGTACCGGTTATATAGGGACAAATTCAAAATATTAACGCATAGCACAAACAAGATAACAAAATAGTCATCATGAATTAATCGAGGCCCATTCATTAGGAAAAAAATAACGGTCAAATGTTTTCTATGCTTAAGGACTGAGATCGGCAAAGAACATCACTGAAAACATACCAGTAAACTCGACAGTCCTATATCCTACGATGCTTCCTCCAGAGTCTATCGTAAGTTAAAAGATATTTCTTTTTGTTTTATCCGGAATTCTAGTATCTTTTTCCTTAATCTCACAAGCGCCCTCATCTCTCTGTTATAATTATTCGACCAAAGTGTAAAAAAATCGGCCGATTGGATAAGATTTAAATCCACAGCAGCAAAATCATGGCTTGACTACTGCCGGTACCCTAACTACTCGAGCCACGAGGCTCAGTCGGGAGCTGCGAGTCTGATCTTAGTTGCGTTTCATAAATTATTTAAACCTACCAAAACGGTTATTGAATGAGTGGGTCTGCCACCCATCTGGCGAATACTGGATTTATTGTTTAGGAAATCTTGCTTGCCAAATCGCCTTACTATATTAGAACTGGTGATTTTTTCATGCGCAATATTAGGATAGGTGAGTAACGTGACCCAAATGGGACTAAAATTACGACTCTCGCTGGGACCTTGTAGCTCAGATGGTTAGTGTTGGTTCTACTCGGGCCTTGCCTTTCCGTTGTAGATTCGAGCATCAGTGACGCCGCGGAATTCATCATAATTAAGTCCTTTGAATTATTCAAATCTTTCAAAACACCTGTTGCCTGTTAGATTTGAGATATAATCTAGTAAGGAAATAGTCGGAGTGGCTCAACAACAGTCAATCCGATAAGCTAATTGCA